CAACTGAACATGTGATACTGCAGTCTGACCACTCTAATTTGACTGCAACTACGTCTGTCTCTTATACACATCTAGATGTGTATAAGAGACAAACACAAGAGTGTCGGCATTACAAATTAGTAGAGTTTGAAGCGCGGCCGGAATTAGTCTCACAAAATGCCAAATTTAGTCACACACAGTGTCGGAATATATGGATTTGGTAGGTTTGCATTCTAAAGGCTTTTAAATAAATATGGCAACATTTTGTGACGTTTCATTGTTGCTGGTGCGTAGTGCAGTGTTTTTAGAGTGACGTAAAGCAAACAGAACTCGAGTTGCGCATACGGTGTGCCACGGGTGTGGGTGTATCTTTTATAGCCATTCATTTTTTGCTACGTCCTTAAAGTGTCGGAATATAGCTACCGCGTAGTCCACGTTTACCCTAGTCCCTAGATAGTAAAAATGTTAAACTTTATGCCACAATTTTTAATTTTGCAATATTTTGATTAGTTTAGCTGCTACAACTCCATGGTCAGGAAGATGTGCCAGGTGCGCGGGAATTTTTATCATTATTGCATCAATTTGCGCCGTGCGCCGTAATATGCCGGTAAAAAAGTGCACCGTGCACTAGCCTGCACCATGCTCCTAAAGTTGTTTAAAGATGAATGCGCGGCAACGCTATCACACACGAACAAATATCTGCATCACCATCATGTTGACTAGATTTCTAATGTGTTAACTCAGGTTCTAAGAGTTGCCTGAGTCAGCAATGTTATGAATAATTATTCATACCGTAAAATGGGGTAACTTAGACCACTTTATTTTTTATAAATGCCATTTTTTTACTAGCTAAATCAAACTTGAATTGAAACATGCAAAATACAGGTCTATACTCTAGCTTCACTTACCATAAATTGCTGGCTCCTGCCTCTTATAGTCTTTATGTAATTTCAAAAAAAGTGATGGTCTATGTTACCCCAGCTCTTGGGGTATCTTAGACCGGGTGGTAAAATCAATTATATTTTTGGTAAAATAACTCCAGATAACTCCAGGTTTTGGTGCATTGTAGTAGAACTCTTCTAGTTACATATGCAAATGACAAACTTGAGGAAAGTGTCATAGTTTGCAAATGGGGGGCNATAACACATCATAATGTAACAAAATACAGCATAACAATATATTATAATAACATAACTACACATATTGTAACACAACATAACACCACACATTATAACATAGGTAACATAACACATCACATTATAACATAACATAGAACAGGAAAACAAATTATACCGTAACATATCATAACACAACAACAAATTATGCCATAACATATCATAACATAACACATTATAACACAACATATGATACAACACATTATATGACATTATAACTCAACCTAACATATTATAATGCATCATAAGGTTACACCACACATGACATGACATAATACAAAACATTGCAACACAACATAACATAAGATAGTATAACAAAACACATTATAACAGAACACATTATTACAATACAACACAGCACAACAGAACATAAAATAACATAAAAGATTACACTGTTATAATATGTTGGTTTATATTAGGATTTGTAATGTGTTGTGATGTGTGATAATTTTTGTTATGTTATGTTGTGTAATGAGTTTCGTAGTGACATGTTGTATTATAGTGGTTTATGTTCTGTTTTATGTGTTTTCTTATGTTATGATGTGTTAAAATGTGTTCTGTTATATTATTTTGTGTTATTATGTGTCCTGTTTTATTTTCTTGTGCTACTACATTATGTTGTGTTGCAATGTGATGTCTTATGTTATGTTGTGTTGCAATGTGTTGTCTTATGTTATGTTGTGTTATAATATGTGGTGTTTCATTATGATGTGTTATAATGTGTGGTGTTATGTTATGATGTGTTGTGTTATAATTTTGGTTGTAATGTTTTGTGTTATAATGTGATGTCATGTTATGTTGTATTAAAACATGTTGTGTAATAAGTTTTATTACAAAGTGTTGTGTTGTTATATAGTGTTATGTGTTGTGTTATGTTGTGCATTATCCCACACTGATCATAAAGCACTTGCATCAGTGTTCATAATCTTGCATCGGTCACATCGATAGTTAAAGCATGTGCGTCTGTGTAGATCATAGGGCATAGGCCTAATGGATCATAAAGCACAAGCCTTAGAATGGACAATTGGGCATCGGCCACATCAATCGTAAAATGCGTGCATGCGAGTCGATCATCAGGCATCGACTACATTGGTCATAAAGTGTGTGCCTAAGTGCTGATCAATCAATCATAAAATGTGTGTATCTGTGTTGATCATCAGGCATCAACTACATCAATTGTAAAGTGCGAGTGTACGTGTTGTCATATTTCATCAGCCACATCAATCGTAGAGCACGAGCGTTGGTGTTGATCATTAGGCATCGGC